TTCTTTACTTTTTTTTTTTTTTTTGACAGAGTCTCCCTCTGTCACCCAGGCTGGAGTCCAGTGGCACCATCTCGGCTCACTGCAGCCTTTGCCTCCCAGGTTCAAGCTATTCTCCTGTCTCAGCCTCCTGAGTAACTGGGATTACAAATGCACGCCACCAAACTTGGCTAATTTTTTTTTTTTTTTTTAATAGAGACAGAGGAGACAGAATTTCATCATGTTGGCCAGGCTGGTCTTGAACTCTTGACCTGAAGCAATCTGCCTGCCTTGGCCTTCCAAAGTGCTGGGATTACAGGCATGAGCCACTGCGCCCGGCTTTTACTTTTCTTTTTACTAGTCATGCTAGCACAGAAAGAGCAACCAAATTTGTAAATGGGCAAACTATTTGAACAGATTTCTTTTTCCAAAGAAGATATGTAAAAGGTCAATAAACACATGAAGAGATGCTCACTATCATTAATCATCAAGGAAATGCAAATTAAAATGGCAATAATAAAAAAGGCAAAATAATAAAATAATAAAAATGATAATAAAATAATGAAAAACAAATTAGAATGGCAATAATAATAAAAATAATAATAACATGCATTAGTGAAGATGTAGAGAAACTAACCTTCGCACACTTGTGGTGCACTTACTTTAGAAAACAGTCTGGAAATTTCTGAAAATATTAAGACACTTTTGTCTCTATTCAGATTGACAAGTTGTAAACATTCTGACAATATTAGGAGTTGGTAAGGATGTGGGAAAATGGGAACTTCTCAGGTCCTGTAGGTAAATGTGTATGTATTATGTATTCAGCCAAGAAAGGAAATATGTATTGAAGACCTAACACATCTCAGGCACTGAGCATGGGGCATGTGAGAGGGATCGAGAGGGCCCAAGGAAATATTTAGCAGAGAGCTAAGTGACAAAGAAGAGTCAGCCCTGCAAAGAACAAGAGCAAGAACCTTCTAGAAGCATGTACAAAGGCCCTAAGATTTAGCCTGCTTGATGGAGAGTGTGGGAGGCAAAATAATGGCCCCCTAAAGATGTCCACGTTCTAACCCCTGGGACCTGTGAATGTATAATCTTTCATGGTAAAAAGGACTTTGTAGATGGGATTAAGTTAAGAATCTTGAGATGGGAGATCATCCTTGATGATCTGGGTGGCCCAGTGTCATCACAGGGTCCTTACAAGAGGGAGGCAGGAGAGTCAGAGTCAGAGAGGGGAAGAGGTTGCCCTGCTGGCTGTGAAGATGGAGGAAGGGGCCCTGAGATAAGGAACATAGGTGGCCTCTAGAAGCTGGAAAAGGCAAGGAAATGGATTCTTCCCCAAGAACCTCTAGAGTGAATGCAGCCCTGATGACGTATTGATTTTAGCCCAGTGAGACCCATTTTCAGACTTCTGACCACCAGAACTATAAGATAATAAATGGGCCAGGCACACTTGATCACGCCTGTAATCCCAGCACTTTAGGAGGCTGAGGCAGGTGGGTCACTTCAGGTCAGGAGTTCAAGACCAGCCTTGCCAACATGGTGAAATCCCGTCTCTATTAAAAATACAAAAATTAGCTGGGCATGGTGGTGCATGCCTGTAATCCCGGCTTGGGAGGCTAAGGCACGAGAATCGCTTAACTCGTAGGCGGAGATTGCAGTGAGCTGAGATCACGCCACTGCCACCGCACTCCAGCCTGTGCGACAAAACGAGACTCTGTCTCTAAATAAATGTTGTTTTAAGTCACTAAGTTTCTGTTCATTTGTTGTGGCGTTAACAGGAAACTAATTCAGAGAATGTAGCTTGAGGAAAATGTCAGAGTTCTTTTCTGGCTCTGTTTGCAAAGTCCACACATGTAGGAAATCACTGTAAAACAAATTAGTCAGGCATGGTGGCATATGCCTGTAGTCCTGGCGACAGGGGAGGCTGAGATGGGAGGATCCCTTTAGCCCAGGAATTTAAGACCGCAGTAAGCTATGATCGTGCCACTGCATTCCAGGCTGGGTGACAGAGCACGACCTTGTCTCTAAAAAAAATGAAAACAGTATTTTAAAAAGAAATCAAAGTGTTCTCTCACATAACTACTTTGCAAAACCTACCAATGAATGATTTCCAGCTAAATCAAGGAATAATCCAAAAAAAGGCAAAGACCCCAGAAAATAGGGGATGCAACCCAGGAGTGGGGAGAAGGGATATCCCTGCATGGCAGCTTGTAGAAGATGCTGTTGATGTTCTATCACATCTCTAGTGGCCCACAGTTCTCTCTTTTCCAGAAAACCGCCCTTACTTAGAAATAACTGGGAAGTTATGCTTCCTATCCCACATGGGTGTCTGAGCCCACAGCCAATGACTGTCTGAGTCGGGGATACAAAAGCACAGCCTCCTTGCCTCAAAGTGGAACAACTCTGGTGTCATTCATGCCTCAGAGCTTCCTATGGGATCAGTCTGAAATCACAATCCAGCTGAATGTATGTCCTTTCTTGTTTTTTCTCCCAGCCTATCCTTCTCTCCTCACTTCCTTTTGATTTTTATCCATTGATAAATCACAAAGATCTCCAACTCAGATTTTGCGTCTAGGATACCCAGCCTAGGACAACCTAAAACAGCAGTCCAGCTAAGTGCAGAAGGATGGAGGAAAAGAATAATGCAATGAAGCTGGGTGCAGTGGCTCATGCCTGTAATCCCAGCACTTTGGGAGGCCAAGGCTCAACTGCAGTCAGGAGTTCGAGATCAGTCTGGCCAAAATTGTGAAACCCCATCTCTACTAAAAATACAAAAATTATCCAGGCATGGTGGCACAGGCCTGCAGTTCCAGCTACTTGGGAGGCTGAGGCACGAGAATTGCTTGAACCTGGAAGGCAGAGGTTGCAGTGAGCCAAGATCATGGCACTGCACTCCAGCCCAAGCAACAGAGCAAGATTCCATTTCAAATAATA